AATATCACTTTTTGTGTGCATATTTGCAAGAATGCCACTTAGGGGTGTCCATTTACAAAAATGTCACTAATTATAGATTTATAAAGCCTATATCTTAAAATTCTAAATCCTAAAAAATGTTTTGACACCTAAAACCCCCTAAACACTCAAAACTAAACCTTAATAGAACATAATTAACCCAAACATAAATAATATAAAAAAAAAATTTTTGAAAAAGTGGCATTTTTGTAAAGATTTCAAAAGTGTGGCATTTTTGTAAAGTGGCATTTGAAAAGTGGCATTTTTTGAAATTTCTCAAAAATTAAATCATTTTCTTTTCTAACTTAATCTTGTTAAATAAGGATATAATTGTCATTTCAACTTTTAAAATATGGTAGTTTTCAAAGTGTAACAAATTTGAAATAGATTTCAAATTTTCAATAAGATTTGGGGTATACAAGCCAATTTTCCATGTAACTTTGTCAAAGAAATATTGTAATTTTATGAACAATAATTTTATGAACACAAATCAAATAAAAATAAGAAAAATAATAATAATTTTATATCAAAGAAATCACAATTTTATGAACAATAAGAAAAAAATTTGTAAAAAAACTCATTATTAAACAAAAAATTATGATTCGTGACTCGATCAAGCAATTGAAAAGTGGGCTAGTACATATTAAGCCGAGGAAATCATGTTTATTTTCAAGTGTAGCGCGATCAAGATTCAAGTTTTGATCTAAATAACAATCCCAAACATATATAGACTCATGTGTATGTATCTACACTACACAAATATTATATGGACATGATGAGGTTATGGAGGGGTAGGGTATGGGTTGGGGTCAAAAGAAAGTGACACGAGTTAGAGAGTGTTGTGTTAAAGCATAAGAGAAGGAAGTTTGTCAAAAATGTTTTTGATCCCTTTGTGATTGTGAGTTAATTATGCCTTTGCCTTTTTCAAGAAAGGACCTTTGAAAGTGAATTTGATTGAGAAGTCTATATATCATCCTTCATGTCTTGGCCAATCACATCTCTTTCCACCCTTATCTAAACTCTCTCTTCACCGTTCATCAATCTCTCATTCTTTTTCAATCATTTATTTCTTTTAATTGATTTCAATATCATTTATACACACAAATCCAAAAGCACTGATTGATATAGAAAATTTAAGAATGTAATAAGTTCTAAATAGCAATATTTCTTTGACGAAGTTACATCTTGTAATTGTCTTCATATGT